TATCTTGAGAAGGCCTGGGCCTGCCCCTGTCAGTGATTGGCGGATTTCTGGATCATGTTTCCGATCTCATCGGTTGGGGCGTCTGACTGGGGGTTCTTCATTTTGATGTGCCTTTTGTCGGGGTGATGTGCCTTTCGCTGATCGGGGCGTCTACATGGGGATGATGGGCCTTTTGGCCGCGTGATGTGCCTTAGGGCGGCGGGAACCATGTACTACTATGATGACGACTACTGGCCAGTAGCCGACTACTCCTTGCGAGTTGGCAGATTGGATTTTGCAATTCCGGGGGATGGACTTGGACTCCGCAACGGAATCTTAATCTGAGAAAGTTACACAAATCAGATTCAGCCATACACGAATCAGTGTGGCGGATCAGCCCTCGAATCAAATCACTCCGGCAGCGGATCAGATCAGCCAGATCCGCAGATCAGATCTGGGGATGGCCGCGGATTAGATCAGGAGGAGGCACAAATCAGATCAGCACCAGGCACGAATAAGATCAAGCAGGAAGCCAGATCAGAGCATTGTGTATGGGGACACAGTGGATTGGGATTTAAAGTTCACGCTTAAGGGCTTACGGCTTAGGATTTGGTAGGTTTCGAAGGCCTACGATTTTTGGGTTGTAGGCCTCTGGTTCGTGTAACTTTCTAGGGTTGAGGGCTTTAGGGTGAGGGTTTTACAGTCATTCAGGGTTTAGGGCAAGAGGCTGAGGGTTTAGGGTCTAGGGTTGTTTTTTTTGGTTCAGGTCTTTAGGGTTTATGATTCAGGGCTGGGGGGTTGGTCTAGAGGTTGTAGGCTGTAGGCTTCCGGGTTGCGGGCCTTAGGGTTCTTGGTCTAGAGCTGGGCCTTTTGGTTTTCAGGGTTTAGGGGGATTGCATGGACAAGGTGAGTACGGCCCAAGCAGGTCTGGGTGGGAATTTAGGAGTTGATTGTCTAGGGTTGGCTGTGTGCGGTTTTGGGCTGGATTCCCTGCGATCCCCCCGATCTGGTCCAGCCTCGCGGGTGCGATCCGATTCACGCCGCCCGGGATCCGCTTCGTAGGACCCTCGATCTGATTCGCGCCCGTCCGATCCGACCCCACCGATCTGATTCGCGCCCACACCGATCCGATTCCCGCGATCCGATTCCTGCCACAACCTTTAATATGAGGTCAACATTACTTTGCCCTTCTTGGCTGAATGCCGCAGCACGAGACAAAATTCTCGGGCTAACCGTTTGAGCCTTGCATTTAACTCCTGTACTTCTCTCACCACGGACATGACAGAATCCATCACAACATGGGACTTCCATCCTTTTCGGATGGCTACGCGTTGCTAATCGTCCAGGAACTTGGATAATCTATTACTAGACTTTGACTGATGAGTCCAGCTTGCCAGCACGGGGTGGAGGGAATGGAGTTGTAGGTGGCAAGCAGCTAGAAGCTGTACTCAAGCTCTTGCAGGTATGTGGCCTTTGTTATCATGATGGACGACATGACAATGCAGGCAAGCTCCATTCTCTGGTACAGTATTATTATGGCGCAATGACGATTTATGTGTTTAAATTTGTTTCAAGGAGCGAATTTTCCTGTGACGGCTTCAGATTGCTGATGCATCTTGACGTCGTCCGGCAACGGGTCATACATGCTCAGAGCATTCGGCAGAGTCTGGAGTGCTTTGCATGGCTGCACTCGGTTTACAGTATGTCAGTATGTGTGACTGGCCCATTGATAGGTGTTGCACTGGCGTTTGCTTCTACGTTTTGGGGCGCTGCCGTCACTGTGTCTCGCCACGATCAGCAGCATGGCGGCATTCAGCTGATGGCATATTCTTCTGCCGAATCCTGGCCTGCAGGGCTCCATTCAGAGACCCTTCCCTGCTGGTTGCATGGTTTCAGGTGGGCAGGCTAGGTGAACCGTGAATTCCTGACACGGGATGCACATATCACAAGTCTCGAATCGAACCCTTTTGTGGAGCTGGGACATGTGATAAAAAGTCTGGCGCTCTTAGTGTGCTCTCATGCTGTAGGGAATTCCACCGAGCCGGCCATGAGTATGCCATATGCAAGGCCGATACAGGCTTGAGCCTATTAGCAAGCGTAGTTGCCAAACACTGCTGCATTATGCTTGCCGCAGAGCAGTACTGGCCACTCCAGCGAAACAAGAACAAGTCGTGTAGGTCTTTTTTGAAACATTCTGAAACCATCGCAGGCAAACTTGCTTTGTTACTATTAGGATGAGGTCCCCCGCCTTGGCGTGCCATCTCCCCTGCAGCAAATGCACCCTGCTGTCAGATAGTAAGCGTATCGGAGTCTGACCTGGAGCCACTTCGACAATGATGGTTAACAACAAGTCATAGTAGATCCAGACTCAATCACACATTCGGAGTCAAGCCCAGCGAAGTCTGCCCGGCATGCTCTAGCCTGAAAATCCTGTCTCCACTCATTCCCCCGGCCTGACCTTGCCTCCACTAGTTTCTGCATGGCCCGTATCCGTGGGCATCGGCCTCGTTGGATTACGGTAACGTCATCAGAACGCTCGCAGCAGATATGAGGAATCGTTTTGTTTTGCATGTTCAGCTGGCTTTTCTTTCGTAGGAAGCTTCGAATACAGTCAAAAGCTTGACCAAAAGCTTTGCCGGGGCTCTTTGAAAACAATCACCTGAATTGCCAGGTCAAAGGCATTCATGTACATCCTGCTAGCATTCTTGTGGCTTACTGCCAACCCACAGGGACCTTTTGTATGCACAGCTCCTTGCTGCCAATACCTCATGAAGCTCATAATTGCAACACATGGTTTGTGCCGTAGTCTGTGAGTGTTTCCCAATCATCAGGCTAGATTTTCTGCCATCTGCTGCAGGGTTGAGCGTGCTGTCAGGGAGTGAGGAACCCGTTGAGAGGAGCTTGTCCAGCGGTGTAGCACTCGCCTTTGAAGGATGAGCTTCAACGGTTGATGGTCTCGAGTTTTTGCAGTTTCCAACATGTGTTATCCACCTTAAACTGAGTACTCGCATCGCTGTGCATCGCTGCACGTCGCTTCACGCTGCGCATGGCAATGTATCGCTGTTGCCTCGAGCTTGCTGGCCACAACAGCACTGCCGCGCCCCAGTGGCTTTAGCCCACATACCCGACTCAGGGCTTGTTGACGTTCAGCTGTGCAAACTTGCGCAGGCAAGGGCTTCAAATTCGAGGGAACCGCGCACTGGCTAGCAGCTAGCAACGGCTGCCAGTGCTCGGTACTGTCTTGCAGAGCTTTGCAGGGCAACCCGTCTGAATATAATCTGTCAGGTATGGCATACCTCAATGAGTCACCGGTCTTCCTGGCGATGCAAGGCCGCATCAAGGAAGCCCGATCCGTGGTTGAATCCATGGCAAGGCTCGTTTGCCCAGCTACCGGATGATAGTTCCGCATCATGAGCGCCTTCTGGAGGGTTTGCATCGTTAATCCTAGCATCATTGAATTGAACTGGCAACTGCACGTATGCACCCGAGCGCCAGTAGACGTTAGCTTCGTGAGTGGCCAACCCCCAATGCTCATCCTGATCATCATGGCCAGCTGCAACGTCATGCTCGTAAATCCAAGCTCGAGTCAAGGCGGTGTGTACTTGGCTTTTGTCGGGACTGTGGTGGGACCACCTCGGCGCACAGTGGCCGCCACTGATTTGACATACACAGCTTGCAGCTTGACAACTCGCCCCTGCTATGCTGTTGCAGGCAAAACCAGTCCATGCCTACGCAGCTGAGTTTTCGACAGCCGCGCCGACATATGGGTGCAGCTGACGCATCCCTCCTGAGCCAGATGCGCAGACAAATGTCTGTGGTCTTTCACATTACATACTTAGCTACTCTGCTGCATGATGGTACAGGTTAGCAAGTAGACCAGGCATAGCCCATGCCCTCAATCCGTTTGTGTGGGCGAACGCGGAAATTTGCAGATCTTCGGCCGGATCTTTGCATACCAAAGTACTGTCGCTGCAACGCAGAGGCGCTGAGATCCGTATCTTTTGACTCTGTTGTGTAGAATTCTGTCGGATGTTTTCAAACGAAATTGCGGTTTTGTCGCCGAAAAGGCAAGGTTCCAAACCAGAACTGCGACAGACTAAGGACCGTTGCTCGCGACAAGGTGGCGCAAGGCGTCAACATGTGAATCAAACGCATCTTAAAGGCATGACTTGAAGCGACAAAGTATCCCAGTACACAAGTCAGCCGAGTAGATGGCAGGAGCTGAAAGGCCCAAAGCTTTTCCTCAAGTACAAGCCAAAGGTTCAAGAAGGCATCCAGGCAGAACTCAAGTCAAGTCTTGAGGCAAAAAGAACACGAGCAGGTGTTGAAATCAACAGTCGCTGAGGAGATGCTCAACCCGAAAAGCGATTTCATTCTGGGACATATTAACTTCAACATAGCAAGAGTAAAATTGTCAGATTGGATACTTGAGTTGTAGACCCACAGTAGTTATTAAAATAAGTGGAACATCTCAGGACCCTAAACGTGAACGCTATGTATGAACTCAAAGTGCATCCAAGTCACATACACACCGGACGTCCCACCGATCAAAGAGATTCCAAAGTACGGCCTGCAGCTGTTTGCATCCTCCAGACAGTAGCAAAGCGTCATCATCGGATGCACCCACCTCGATTTGAGGCACCTTCCCAAAGCTTAACCGTATCGACCCACAGGCATACGGGACCTGCTAGGCCGCTGGAACGACAACGTAGCCTGCTAACTGCATTCTAGCTGCTAACATGGCTGCTGCCACGTTGATCAGTGCGGTGAGGTTCCTACCACGGTCCTCATTTATACGTGCTTTACCCTGAACTTGACCTACTTCGGCTGCCTCTTCGCCTTCCCACAGGTGTGGCAGCAACAGTGTAGCAACAGAGATGAGCGGCATTGAATAAAGCTGCTTTGCAGGTCCTTCCGGCGCTGATGCACGGTCAAGCTGCGTCAGAGCTGCTTGTCGGCGCACTCTGGGAGTTGCCTGGTCTCGCACTAGGCCTGTGCAGCCTGCTCTGTGAGGTCAACGGTTGCCCTTTGAGAATTCGGAACATTTTGGTGTTGACACGGCTTTTATTACATTCTGGGCCAGGCCGCGCTCCACCAATTCGTGGGCCGTAGCCCCAAAACGATCTCAAACGAGCATCCCAATCCCGACTTGAATCAACAACCCGCGACTCTGAAGCGGAAACGTGGACCCACAAGCCCCACAGGTTTAGGAAAGTTTTGAATTTCAATGGCCGGCACGGCTTTTTCAAGCTGTGCGACATGCACCGTCACGGGTCCAGAAAAATTTGCAGAACGGTGGGACAAGCTAAGCCATCGAGCTGTGTGGGTAAGTCACATCCGGGTTCTTCATAGATTGTCGCCGCATTGACTTTGCTGGAGCCGGTGTGAAACTGCTCCAGGCCTACTTCTGGGCATATCTGCAACCAGGTACGACCCTGACTGTGCTGCAAGAGTCGGCTTGCATCCCTGAGCTTTGAGGCGGACTGCCCTAAAATTCTACCTCTCAGCTCTGTCCTGCAGCAAGCCCAGAAGAATGGATGCTTCCATCTTGCTTAGCGGCTTAGCATGCGTGCTTTATTTGTGACGACTGCCTACGCTATGCATAGGCTTCCTGCTGTGCTTCATCATTGGAGTCCACTACGGGCAACTTGGAGCACAGCGGCAGCTCTGTTCCGAGCATCTGCGCTTGTGCTAGCCGCTAGCAATAGGGCTTGGGGCGACAGAACAGCTAGACAGGTTGATAGCGTAGAGCCTGTAAACTTGCCTGAGGGAGTCCAAACTGCTGAAAGCCATGCTGCTGGTGGGATACTATGGCTGCAGCCTCAGCTATGACTTCAGCCTCCCAGTCCGGCAGACGAAATGACTGAACATCAACAGACCTCGCTACCTGCAGGTGTCAAATGTGTACCCAACATTGGCTTCATCGTAGCCTACCAGATGTCTGCAGAGCTCTATCCTACAGAGGTCTTCTGCACTGATGGTGGTAGCCAACGATGTCAGATCCAGCGTACTTGCAGACTTCTGGGAGGCACGAACCATGGGCTCAGCGCTGTGTCTAGCAGGGGGAAGGTGCGGTGCCCAAACCTTTCTGAAGGAGGGCCTGCAATGCAGCCTTCACTGCATGTTGATGAGACGTGCCACATCATGCCTTTACCCTGTCAGCTCCGTAGGCCTACAACATGCGGAAAACTCGTAAGCCGGGCATACTTGCAGCTCGAGGGACCTCGTCACAGCGGATCCTTTGTCCGCCTGCCTTACCGGCAGGTTTGGACAAGAATGTCAGGTTCAACTCATGACATGACCAGGGAGTCCAGGCGAATCAGGTCTTCAATGGTTCTCATCAACGCTGAACCCAATTTGGGAGTTGAACCTTGTGGCGCATGCTGCACCACGAGGCTCGCAGCTATGCTGGCTCCCATGGTTTACGAATGTGTCGTGACCTGGACGGGCGGATTCCTGCCCTTTTTCTTGGCAATGGCAACTATGTGCGTCAGCAACTTGTATTTGGTGGCTGGCTCAGCTTCTGAAGGACAACCCTGCATAGCCAATTGGCCAGGATTTTATTGTTTGTGTTGGGAAGCCAAGCAGCGTCTTGATCGTGTTGCAGCACTGGCCAGTCTTGGCGCAAACGTTAGGGTTAGCTTGAAGCGAGGTTGACCTGCTGCCAGAGACGTCAACGCTGAGACATGACGAGGTGTCGAAGGATGACGGCGCCCTGGCCCAGGCCGGTAGAATCGCATGCTGTAGAATGGGCGCTGGAGATGCCGATGCCTGCCAGTCTTGCGAGGATCCTGAGAAGGGTGTCCATGTGGTCTGAACTTTAGAGGAGCATACGTAGCTGCGTAGCTGCAGGTCTTCCCTGTGTCCTGTACCACATGGCAGGGCACAGGTGGAGTCAGTCCTTGTTCAGCACAAAAGTCTGCGTGCCCCAACACAGTCCTGCACATGCATTAGCGACGCCTTCCATGTATTTCCATGTAGCACAACGATTTGCGCCAATGATCCTGCAGTGTCAAAGGATGCTCGTAGATCTTCGTCATGTGACGCGGTGTTGCACAGGGTATCTCGAAATCAATGGTGGCAGTATTAGCATGACAGCTAGGCCTGGCCTCAGCAGGGCAGACGAGGGCGTGTTGTGGTGAATTCAGTCCAGCGCCATGGGTCAGACCGCAATTCAGTCTATCCCGTCGTCGCCTTGGACACTCCTTTGTGAAGCCAATTTACTCCAAATTTGCAGTCATTGAACATGTTGCTATTGCGGATGTTGATGTAGCTCCCTATGGCATCAGCCTTGCTTCTTCAGTTGCTGCATGTTGCTGCTGCAGCTGCTACTATCTGCTACTACAATTCATTGTCCAGCAGCGAACTACAGCTATAGCGAAAGGCAAAGCACCTAGGTCTGTCATGCATACATGCCGTATCAAGGGTAGATAGCGGTAGGACTTGAAGGGTTTTATGCTTAGGTCTAGCAACCGTATGCCAGCGTGATTTTCAGGGGTGGCGCAGGCATGCTTTGCAGTCCGAGGTTTGCCAGCTCCGAGCTTTCAGGCCCCTCGATCTTAACAAGTGGCATGGGGGCAAGCCTTTCGGCTAGATCAATGTGGTTTCGTCCGCGAGGCTCAAGCTCCAGCAGGGGAATGCCACCGGGAGTGCGTCTGGAGGAGCCTCTTTGCAAGCTATGTTCCACGAAAATTCTGCTCGTCAATCAGTTTTGGATTTTGCGAGAGTGCGCCACACTAAGGGCCACGTCCGTGCAGTGCTACTACATATCGCAAGACTGTGCAGGACTTCGAGGTCAGAAGCATCCTGTTTGCAGAGAAGGCAGTTCTGGCTTGCCCGTTGCCAGGAAAGGCCGGGACTGCCATTTGCTATGCCGCTGCTGCTTCTGCTGGAGAGTCCCTCTTTCTCTTGCGGAAGGTTTGCTCAGTAGATTTTAGCTTGAGTATTTTGTGCTCCTGTTTTCATGTTTTTAGAGCCGGAACCCTTCCGGCGGTTTGGGCCCGATGAGTCTGGTCTTTCAAATCTATTCAGCAATGTAACAAGCACTCACCAAGGTTTCAAGGACTTCCCAATGGATTTGTGAGTGTTCTGTAGGTGCAAACCATCCATGAATCAGAACGCCAAAAGTTGCTGGTGCTTCCAGCTTAACATAATGCCTGAATAGGCGATATTCATACTAACAGTTTAGGCGTAGCCGCGGGGTAGTGCACCTTGGCCTGAGCTCATCTTGCAGTATCCGCCGCTGTTTTTCCTCAGGGGCCCTTTGAGCTGAATCTTCACTAGCGCATGGAAAAAGCTTCCTTCGTGCGCCTGCTTGCTTTGCTCTAAGCATCATCAGTTGGCACCGGAGCCTGCTTCTTCGGGCTGCTTGACCCTCTCCATCTTCTGCCTTCGCGACTTCATCGACTTTGACACGATCATGCCGAGGATCCCGGGGATCTTTCGCCTTGACGGGCAGGACGTTCATCCGGATGATTGCGCTGATCAAGCTCTCGATGGAGAAGCCGAAGCCCCTGAAGTCCACGATGGCACTGACCCTTGGCTTGAAGCATTGGAAAGGGATGCAGCCTCGAATGTGATCCAGGGCAACTACGAATGGCGATGCGTTCGCTGCGACTCCGATTCGGCCGTGCACACCGGCGAGGGCCAGTGGACTTGCACGGCCTGCCACAGCAACGACTTCTATGCAACGCACCAGGCACTGCGCCGCCAGACGGACCGCGGCACATGGATGTTCTTGCCCAGGCCTCCTAATGGATTTCCTGAGCAAGCACCTCCTCTCAAGACGTCAGAGGCAACAGCTTAACCGTGCACTTCGTCGCAGGCAGCCTCCTCATGGTCCTCCCTCGGATGGCTTTGAGATGCCGGAGTCCGAGACTGCCACCTTCGACCCGACTGTGGACCCCGACGAGCCGGCTGGTCCTCGTCATCAACCTCCACTTGGGCAAGGCGGCTTGACATGGAGACCTACGGCTCGACCGAGTTCCTGCCCAGCAACCCCGCCTACGGCATCTTCGCAGACAGCCAAGGCTAAGGCGAAGAACACGACCCGGACAAGCCACAGCTGGACACCAAAGAGGTCATGACCTCGCAAGTGGCACCGTCTTCGTCATCCTGGAATTCCTTGATGGGCCCTGCCCGCTCTGCCGACCCCTCCCCTTTGGAAGTACGAGCAGAATGACCTCCGTGCCTACAGCAAGTTCGCTAAGAAAGTGGCTTTGTGGCGTATCCAGGTGTCTTCCTTTATGACTCCCCGAGAAGCTGCTCTCGTTCTTTATACGAGCCTGACCGGGGAAGCGGAGGCGGAGTTAGAACACGCTCCCATTGAAGCCATCAATACCGATAAGGGGATAGATTTCATACTTGAAACCTTGCGCCAGCCAATGGAGCAGAAGCAAATCTTTCAGAAACGCAAATTCTTATCGGACTTTGAGGGCATTCAGCGGCATCCGGGCGAAGGGCTCAAGGCATTCAGCAATCGATATCGCCGTCAAGGCAGTGGGGGTCGAGGTGGCCCTGATGTATGATAGCGAGGCTCGTGGCAATCGGCTCCTGGAACGGGCACGCCTGACACCGCAAGATCAACGCTTGATCCTGGTGGGCGCTCGCTACTCCTTGGCATGTGAGGACATTGCCGAGAGCACGGCGATGCAGTTCCCGGACTTTAAGCGCGCTCCTCCAGTCATTGGCCGAGATGGGCAGCCAGTAAACCGGAACAAAGGATCCAGCAAGGGCCAGGCGCCGGGATTCTCCAAGAACCAGGCATCCAGTTCGTCAGGACATGGCGGCAAAGGCGGTAAGCGCGGCGGCTTCGTCAAGAAAGTCTACCTTGCGGACCAGAATGAGGAAGCACAGGCTGATGCAGACTTGGAATCCGCAGAGGGCAACGCCGACGACCACGAGCCGGAGCAGGACATCGCTGACGATCACGACCACGACCACGCCATGACGACGGTGACATCGACCAGGAGGATGCCACCGACCTGGCGTGAAGTGGCGGAGGTCTTGAGCGTAACAGCTAAAAAGCTCTCCAGCGTGCGCTTAGGCCGCAAGTTTGCCGGTGGACCCAAGAAGGACGCTGCCACCCTCAAACGGGAAACCCATTGCGCAGCTTGCGGAGAAAAGGGTCACTGGCGAGGTGACCCCGAGTGCAAGGTGTCGGGGAAAGCGGACCTGTTGCGGCGCGTGGGCGTCCTCACATGCTTCTCTTCTTCGCGCTCAGGACCTGCTTGTGTACAGAAGCCCCCTGCACAGACGCTTTTCAGTTCGGCAGCGGCGACCCGGTGAAAGCCAAGCACCGCTTGTACATGCCGGCTGGCGTAGGCGAAGCCGATCTCGTGATTGGAGCAGGCGTCCTCGAAGCAAACATTCCGTTGCTCGCGTCCAATCAGTTACTTGATGAGCTCGGCATGGCATTCACCAAGCTAGGAGTGACTGTGCCTGTGCTTCGCAAGAACGGACATCTGACTATATCAGTGGTCAAGTTTAGCAAGCACGTTCCTGCTGACAGCTCTAGGTGGAAGCAGCTTCAAGATGCAGTTGATTGGGGCAATCCTCCTCCCGAGCTCGTGTTTATGGCCCAAGCCGTGACTCACACATTGTCCTCTCCGACCCCAGCACCTCATGCAGGCGACTCCTCCGACATGGCTTCGCGGATGGCGCCGCCTGGTGCGCTGTCTTCAGCTCTTCAAGTGCAACGTGTTCATCCAGATGGCCCATGCGGTGAACCTCGGCATCGTCTTGCAAGCATCCCGACTATGTCCGGTACGGCAACGCGTACGGCAAGTTCGCTCGCTGCAAGCAGTGCCTGAAGAGGTGGAAGTGGGACGCCCGCGAAGGTCTTTGGGTCGAACACCTGTTCGGGGCATCGCTGCTCAACTCGCCACCGCCATTGCCGTCCTCATACTGTGCCGGCCCAAGCAGTGCCTTCGCGAGCAGCGGAACCATCGACCCGGCGACCTTCCAAGCCTCAGGGCGCCACGGCCAAGGCGTCGCCGACTACACCAACGAGGACTTCGACAACTCCGGGGCGCAGGCGACGCACAACATGTTCAATGCCGAGTGGTTCGGAGATGTCGACACTGCGCCCTGGCTGGAGCCTGCTGCGCAACCCTCCGGCGGAGACGGAATACAACTGGGCCGACGGAGACGACTGACTGGGAATCGGCGGCCGCTGGACCGCGCAGACAATCTACGACAGCCTCCTGTCAACTTCCAGCAGACCGCCGCCGGCCGTCGACATCATGGAGCTGTTTGCTGGCGAGGCGGGCATCACGGCAAAGGCATCCTGTTATGGACTCAGTGCCTCGGAGCCCGTCGACAAGGTCTTCGGATGGCACCTCGAGGAGCCGAAGACCCAGGACTATGTCATTAAGATGGTCAGGCGGTTGCGGCCCCATGTCCTTCATGTGGCTTACCCTTGCACTTTGTACTCCATCTTCAACGAGAACCTCAACTACAGCAAGCGGATGGACACTCTCCATCGCCTACGGCAGGATGATATGGAGATGCGCCGTCTCATCCGCAAGTTGCTGGATATTCAGCTTGATGGCGGCCGCCTTCGTACTGGAGAACCCGCACCACTCACGACTCTGGGAGATGGACGAGTTTCGCGACCTCGGCGACTTCCCCGGCATTGTCGAGTGCATCGTTGATTCAGGCGCCTACGGTGGCACCACGGTCGACGGCGAGCCCATCATCAAGCCCTTTAAGTTCCCCACTAACATTCCGGGGCGCCGCTACTGTGCTCAACAAGCGCCTCGGAGACCGAGCGGATGTACACTGTTCCAGTGCAGGGCAGAACACCAGGCCATCCCAGGTGTATCCTCCGAAGTTGGTCGATGCCCCCTCTACCACAGTTTCCTTTACATCAAGCTTTGGCCACTTTCCAAAGCCCAGTCTCTGGCCTGGCAGCCTGGGACCCCATCGTGACGATGCTTGAGCGTCCCGATCGGCACCAGCTCTACGAGGCCCTTCTACGTGGACGTGGACAGCGACGTGGGCAAAAGCATCGGCGACCTCCTCAGGATGAACCTGGTGCGCATCCAATGTGTCCAAACTCCTACACAACGGCGCCTTCCCCTGGACTTTCCCTTCACTGTTCGCAGCGCCTTCCTCCTCTACGCGGACGGCTCGCGCAGTGTGGAGATGGAAGACCTTTCCGAGATCCAGCAGCCCAAGCAAAAGTTTGCCAAGGCTGTGCGGTATGCAGTGTTTGCATATGGTGAGCGACGTCCTGAAGCAAAACCTTCGAGCATGGAGGGCAAGCCCGACTCACCTGTTCCGGACCTCCCAATGGATGTCACGTTTCCTGGACTTTCAGCTGACGTCCCTGCCGAAGTTCGCCGGACCATCGCACGCGTGCGCATCAACCTTGGCCACCCGACCGCTGAGGAGCTGGTACGACTTGCGTGTCATCAAGGCAACCCCTCCACACACTTCATCTCCGCCGTCCGCAAACTTAAGTGTGCGACCTGCGACCGTCTCAAGTCACCACAGGCACCACCACCTTCAGCTGCACCTTCTGAACGAGTTTGGCTTCGCCCCTACGGACTTCCGACTTTGGTTGCGGCTGATCCGGATGGATGCTTTCACGGCGACTTCCAGCGCCGCTTGGAATCACATGGCACGCTGGTGGAACACTGTCCTCCTCACACCCACTGGAAAATTGCACACGTGGAACGTCAAAACGCCTTCCTGCGGACCGTCCTCGAGAAGCTGGTGGACACCTTCTCGGCAACTACGTCTTCAGAGATGGACTTGCTCATCGCCCCATCGCTCCACGCCGTGAACAGCATGGTGCTCAGCAGGGGCAGGTCGGCCGTGTTCGGCAAAGTGCCGCGTCTGCCTGGCGGCCTGTTCATGGATAGCCAGTCATTGTCGGTGTCACCAGCGACCGATTCGGCGGCGACGGCAGAGAAGGTGCGCGCGGAGGCGGTGAAGGCGATCGCGGACATGAAAGTGCAACAGTATCAGGCGTGCGAAACTTCCGAATCCCAGATTTGAAGCCAGGCAGTCCATGCTGCTTCTGGAGGTGGCGGCGGCGAGGACAGAAAAAGAGGGGTGGCTGGGTGACAGCCAAGTTCCTGAGCTGGGACCCTTCGGCCCCAACCAAGCTGGCATGGGTGAGGTCAGGAACGACTACGGCGTTGGTGGCAACCGAACAGCTTCGCTCCGCCGTTGGCTTCGAGAAGTGGGTGCCCGCCGAGCAGGACGTGACCGCCCTCAAGGACTCCAGCAAGGCTCTTACTGAGAGTCTCTGGACAGACGAGACTGGCCCTGCGACGCTCGAACCGCTAACCTTTACATCGGGTTCTTGGCGAAGATGACTTCCTTATGAACTAGCAACGAGCTCCTGGCTGCTGCCTCTTCTCAACCAGCTGGACAACAACGACTCGACGCAGCCGTGTCATGGGCCCCCGGGACACCAGTTCCGGCACCTGAGCAACCTCAAGCACAGCTGTCTGGTACCATCAACAATAACTACGTGTACGCCCGTGTTGGAGATGTTGGGCAAGGAGCACGCCGCAGCAAATCCATGCCGCGGACCCCACGGAGAAGTCGGTCACCAGCGCCTCTGACAGTGGCGTCCCTCCTGGACTACCGCAACTCCCTCAGCCTCAAGAAGGTCAAGCTCAGCTCCTTGAACCTGCGCAGCAACTTCCTGAACTGCTTTCTCCTGAGTACAGTCCTCCCTTTGAAGAACCTCCGGGACTACAAGAACTGCCGCAGCCGCAAGAAGGCCAAGCCCAGCCACCCACTTTGGAGCAGGCGGTGGACCTCACCCAGGACGCAAACGCCGCACCAGCTGACGACCTACCTGACGACGTTTGCGACTATGCTCCTTCACCTGCGCGTGACCTGAGACGCCTGCAGCTTCAGTTGGCCAGCAGCCACCCACTCCGGCAGACTCTGGACAAGTGGCGCTGGCCTAAGGGCACCTACGACACCGGTGACAAGCTCGGCAGCCTCAGGAGTTACCGCACCTAGCCTCTTCACCTTCGACACTTTGCGCACCAGACTCTACGAAGAAGACGGCGTCCTGCGCCGGCTTCCTTTTGGACACACTCTCGGCGAGTTCTACGGCCCCGCGTGCAACCAGTTCTACGAGGCCTACCTGGCGTCTTCGTACAGAAACGACGACGTGTTGGCCACGGACAAGCCTGCCCAGGAGGCAGACACCTCAGACTCCGACTGGGACGACGCACCACCGACGTCAAGTACGCGGCAGGGAATGTCTCGTATGGAAGTCAAGGCTTTTGGGTCGTGAAATTCCATGGCGCAGAATCATGGAATTGCCATCCCACCAGTTCCAGGCCTACAAGGAGGCGCTTCGTGGATGGAGTGGCGATCCGTCAAGGAGGAGGCCAGTGCAGTCTTTAGATTCTGGCCAAGCGCGTGCTGAGGACGCGCAGCTGCTTTCATTTCGGGACAAGGCGAAAGGGCTGGGCCCACTCAGGGCCAAATGCAGAGTCGTGGCGCTGGGACATTGTGACCCGGACCTCCGTCGGCTCCGAGAGTGTCCGACTCCCAATCGCACCAGCGAGCATGTGCTGTTTCTGGTCCTGGCAGCTACGGCCTTCTTTAGGGCGAGCAGCCCTCGGACGAGAGAGCCCTTCCGCTGTACCTCAGACCTCCTGACGATGGTGTCACACGCTCCACGAGTTGCTGGACGGCACCTTCGTACCTGGTCCTCACGAACATCTATGGCCTGGCCAACGCCCCACGTCTTTGGGCAAACACCGTGGTGCAGAGATTGAAGAAGCTTGGATACAGAGGTGTTCCTCCTCTTCAAGAAGAAGGACGAGCTCATCTCCATCATTCTGGTGTATGTCGACGACTTCTTCGGCGTCTACCGCGAGGACTACTCCATAGAACCAGTGTGGCAGTCCTTCAAGTTGGGGGTCTCTGAACAAGGTCGAGCCCAACAAGGAGTTCACTTTCAAAGGAAAGCAGATTTCGCTACGTGAACGTCCGAGTGGGCGCCTCTACCTCCACCTGTGCCAGGCCGAGTTCATCGAGGGATTGTCCGTCGACAAGATTCCGAGAGGTGCCGACCTGAGTGCGCCTCTGACCTCTGAACAGAGGGCCGAGTTCCGCAGCATCTCTGGATGCCTTCAGTGGCTTTCTACTCAGACGAGGCCCGAGCTCTGCGCGACCAACAGCCTCGCCAACAAGGGGGACAAGACGACATTGGCAGACCTCAAGTCTCTTTACCAGGCCTTGGAGTTCGCCCGGGCAACCAAGAACGACGGCATCATGATCGAGGATGTTGCGCTGAACCGTGCAAGCGTCATCGTGACGTACAGTGATGCTTCGTGGGCCAACGCGGAGCAGTGCCGTTCACAACTTGGAGTGCTTGTCTTGGTTACCTCCCCGACTGTGCTTCAGAGAACCACCTCGGCTGCAGTGCTCGATTGGCGCTCAGGGCGCTCAACTCGGGTGTGTCGCTCCACCTTGACGGTGGAGGCGAGCGCAGCTGATGAGGGCTGTGATAGGGGATGCTACTTGAACATGTTCATCTCCGAGCTCCTCTACAACATTCCTGCACATCGTCGTCAGCATCGGCTACTTCACCTACACGTAGTTGACGCTAAAAGCTTGTACGATGTTGTAGTGAGTGACACTCCTAACCTCGCGGATAAGCGGTCTTTGGTCAACATCCGTGCTATCCAAGAGGTTGTAGATGGAGAGCGGATCAGATGGGCCCCGACGCAAGTTCAGTGGGCCGATAACCTCACTAAGCACAGTGCAGAACTGCAGCTGTCGCTTCACGAGTGGCTCCAGAAACCAGTGGTGATACTTCGAGATGATGCCTAGGCCAACTTAAAATAATACCCATAACAGTTTAGGCGTAGCCGCGGGGTAGTGCACCTTGGCCTGAGCTCATCTTGCAGTATCCGCCGCTGTTTTTCCTCAGGGGCCCTTTGAGCTGAATCTTCACTAGCGCATGGAAAAAGCTTCTTTCGTGCGCCTGCTTGCTTTGCTCTAAGCATCATCAGACATACATGGTGTTTTTGGGTCCTTTTGACAAGTCACATGCCACGCCCTGTGTTGTGTTGTTGCGAAACCTGCTTTGGAAATGAAGCGTGCCTCTCTGGTGCTTCACATGAGAAAGATTGAGAAAGCAACACAAGAAGTGTTTTTGTCCGCTTGAGAAGTGACATGCCACGTGCTTGTTGTTGCCACATTGCTTTTGAAATGCAGCGTGCCCCCTGGTGCATGAGAAAGCAATATTGGGAATTGAGAAATCACGTGCCGCGCCGTTTGTTGGCTGTTGCCAAACCTGCTTTGGAAAGCGCATGCGCACGGCGTTTCATAGTTCCTGGCATGATCCAAAAAGATGCTTCAAACTTCGGCGTGCCCCAAATGATGTACATGAAAATGCAAACTTCAACAACGTGTTTTTGATCCATTTGACCTACAAGACCTACAAGTCACATGCCATACATTTTTTGGCTGCTGTTCCAAAACCTGTTTTGAGAAACGCGTTTATGTGGCGTCTTCCTGGCGTGACTTCATGCGGCTGCCGTGACTCCATGCAGTGGGGCTTGACAACCCCGCGGCTTAGTTTCGGTGACAGGCTTGGATCGAGCTGGGTCGCTGGAACCCAATTTCTTTGGCACTGCTTGCACCTGCTTGGCGAGAAGCCCGGAGAGGAAGCTCCCAAACCAGCCTTGTTCCTTGCATCCACCTGCAGCGCTCAGGGAAGGATTTTAGTCGAGGAGAGCAAAGGGTAGACAGTCTCAAAGTACACATAGATGTGGAGCAATGTCCCCGTGCTCCTGAATACTCAGCCAGAGCATCAGGCGAAAGGTTACCGATTTGAAGCTTGTAGGCATTGTAGGTGTGCTCATGGCTGGATCTAATCGCAAGCTGAGGTCTTACCAGATCTCTGGTACAGCGGACCACTGGTGGTTTGTTGCCAGGATTGCATCTTGCAGGATGCTTTTTTCGACTCCAGCCACGAAGCTCGTGTTGCTGCTAGGAGCACCAACCACATGCCAGGAGCCCAGAAGCCAAGACATGGTCTATCAGCCTATCATGGTCTCTCATCTTTCCTGCAAATCAACGGCGCTTTCTATACGAAGCACAAGTGCAAATTGCTAAGTTCAGATGATAGACAACAGCTGTGTGATGACCGGGTAATGCCATGCTGCATGCGGCCGATGCTGAGGTATTACTACGCCGCCCAGTTCTGTGTTGACCAGACTGGGAAAAACCATATCACAGGCAACTCGGTGGGTTTTGCTCTTCCGCACTGCGTCAACCTGCAAGATCCTGCAAGTCGCTTTGTAAAGACATTTTGGAGACTGCTGCATGTCAAGGCCTGGCTTACCTGGGCATGTGGGCCGCGATTGCCTGCGGGCTCCAGTACCCGGAGGACGGCTGCATGGCAATGTCATATCTTTAAAGCGTCTTTGGAATGCGAAGGCCAAGTGGTGGTTCGCTCGAGAATGGATGCCCTGCCAACACCCTCGCAAAAAGCGAGATCTTGACAGGACCCTGCAAAGTTGACACCCTCAGACTGACTTTCTTGCCTTGCTTGGCTGTATGCAGGTTGTTGCTGAGAAACCCGTCGGCCGTGCACCCATACTCGTGGATTGACAACAACTGTCAGCACTTTGCACTCAATTTGTACGCCGCAACCTCAGTTGCAGACTGCAGATGGTAACAGGTCACTCTTGGTTTGCAGAAATACCCTGTTCCTCTCCTGTACTCAAGTATCACGGGTGGAAAAAAATCCATGAACGTTGAAGACCAGAAAATACCTGGAAGGCTTCTTGGGGCAATTCTGCCAAGATTCTATCGGATTCTATCGTAGATCTTCAGGGAGGGAGAGCAATGTCAAGGGAGAGAAGATCCATCCTGGCTGCAGAATGCCTGGCCTAGCTAACCCGCCGACCTTTTGGAGCAAGTTTGTGTTGAGAGTTTTTGAACGGGTCTTTGAGGTTTCCCCATGACACACGGGCTTCAGGCTTTGGGGCTCATTTCTTCGTCGAGCATCATCAGCTTCATTATGCCTTTTTTCTTGGAACTGGAACAAAAAACAGGGTTGGGCGTGAGTACGGGATGGAAAAACGTCAGATGACCCAACGATGCTGCGAAATGCTGGCGTCTTGAGGGCTTCTTGGGGGCTTCCAGGGCCTCCACGACGGTGCTGCAATACCAGATCCAACTTCGAAGCACTTGAGACGTTTTTGGTGGTGAACACCAACCGCAACTTCCTAAAACGCATCAGAAATAGTGATCTGGGCTGCAAAGATGAGGTGGCGTGGGTTCAGCGGCCAAGGACACATTGTACACGCGTGTCAGCATACTACAGTACTAAAATACAGAAACAATATCTAATTTCTGTGTTGTGTTCGCAGGGGGCTACGAACGTGATCTCAACACATCCGGCGAAATTTTGTCAAAATTGATGTTCAAGGTACCTTCAAGGGTTTTTTGAAACGCTAAATTTCTCATTCCCCCAAGTGGACAGGAAGTGGGGGGTTCCCAGTCGTGCTGATGATGCTTCTGCCTGGAGCGCACAGGATAGGGGGCGGTTCGGGGATGCTAGGCGGGCAGGCCGACCCGTAACGCAAGTTACGCAAGGCCCCAATGGATCATTCGTTCTATGTACCGGCAACACGCTAAAGTATAATTCTCGGAAGAGTTGTAGAATCCAGGAAAATCAAAGCATGTTTGCAGCCGATGCCTTTGTGCGAGCTCCCATGCTGCCAAAGCCCTTCAGAGAGTCGAATGTTGAACGGCTAGAAGCGTTTACAGGAAGGCGATGATGACTGCGTTGCCTGACTACACCTACGCTTTCATTTGAGGGCAACCTCGCTGGCCGTGAGTCATGCTAGCGTGAGAAAGCAGTGGGCGAACTTTGTGTGTGCGCGCCAAAGAGCCGCCTTGTCGGAGTGCTAATGCACTTGCCAGTGCCGCCCTCGAACGGCAAAAGGTGTTTGTGGCAGATTGCAAGAACTTCACAGGCTTGTTGCCTGTAGCGAAGTTGAGTGTTCTTCTGCGAATTGTTGATTATGCAGTTCAGCTTGCGGAAAGTCATAGCAACCAGCAACCAGCCATGCTTGTTTGCGTCATGCTTTCCTCGAGAAGTTCAGTGTTGCCCTAGTTCAACCCAGTTCAGGGCGCCAGGCCGGACTTGCTGTAGTGCTCAGTTCTGTTAGAGAAGATTTGAGCGCATGCTGCTTGCGCATTTCTTTCCCTATGCGCCTGGCGTCTTTCTGCCTCTTCACCGGAAATGCAGCCGAGGTAGAGCATGGCGCGCCAGTCAGGATATGACCGGCATATCACCATTTTCTCTCCAGAGGCATGCTGGGATCCATGTTGAGCGCGGTGCAGTGCAAGAAAAACACTGGCTGCACATCTTCAGGGCCGGCTACACCAAGTGGAGTATGCGCTGCTCAGCTGGCATCAGGCTTGCTTGCTTCACCGTCTGCAACATTTAGAGACCAAGGTTCCAGGCAGTCAAGAAGAATCAGAACATGACCTCGGTAGCACTTCGAGGAGATGACAGTGCTAGTGTCCGAGCTTCCCGCTACTGCCAGTTTGCTGGTTGAGTCAAGTTTGCCCACAAGTTCAAGCATGAACAGGAAACTGCGCTGGTGTTCAGTTGCCTGGATGCTCCCAAACCTCGCACAGCAAGGTCGTGGCGGTGACACAGAAGAAGGTGCCCGACAAGCTGATGGACAAGGCCTGCTTCTGCAGCACAAAGGCTGCAGCTAAGGCATGCGTAATCACGTGGGGATAAGCCAGTGCATCGTTCCATCATGTTCCACCATTCCTGCAGGACTTTGGCACGCACCTTTACAACATTACGCCCAACCTCGGCTGCTTGATGACGGGGATGAGTCCAGATGCCCGGGCTCTCGTCTACAGGCCACGCTCGTTCGATGCATGGAATGTCATAGTCACAGTCTCAGCCGGTAGTCTCAGCACGACAGGGCACGTGAGATCGCATCCAAGTTCAAGGACAAGAACGGATACGAAATTCCAGCGTCTCCCTGAGCTTGTCAGGTTGTACTGTACAGCTTGTAGCTGATCTTGCAGGGGAAGTGAAAAGTCAGATGGAGAGTTTCTGGAGCTTCGGGTGCATCAGGAGCATTGCTTGTCGATTTTCTGTGCGTCAGGAGGAGCGCGCATCAGCTTTGAGAGGGTTCTGTGATATGCCAAGCCGATCTTGGCCACATTTTTCATAGGGATAGTGCCACTTCAGTGTAAATCAGAGACTCACAAGTGGCAGGTCTTGGATTGATATTGGCGGTTCGTGCAAGCAGACTAGTCATCCTGTCATTAATCGATTGATATGGTGAATCGGATGTCGTGCAGCGTGGTGGACTGCTGTGGGCCAACTCAACAGCCATGTGGCTGCCCCACATCACGATCAAATTCCGCGATCGCCAGCCGCACAAAGCAGCTTCAAATCCAGCAGACAGTCAGACAGGGGATGGCGGAGGTTTGCCACGAGGTCAGCTCGGGAGGACCTCCTGATCTGTTAACTCCAGAATTCGGATCCTGAGGTGTGTCCCATATGATATGTGTGCCCTTTGGAGTGACCAGCGCGATCCTGCTTGTGCCTCCTGGGCTTTTGTTGCAAACGACCCCCTCAGCTTCAGGTGCACTACCTGGCTCTGAAGCTTGCGAACATTGCACAGGCCTGTGGCGACCTGCGAAACTAGAGCAGAGTATAGCCGAAAACGAGATGGTGCAGCAGTAAGGTTTGCAAGCACTCAGACCCACCCCCATAAGATGTAAAGGCCCGTATCGGCTGCAGGTGTACACGCAGCATGCTTACATGCGGCCATACGGTGTCAGCACGATGCTGTCTCTTGGCTGCGCTGCTGGATCGTTGAGAGCGTGCACATGCTGCATAGTGTTGTTGTTTGCATCAGCGGACACAAGGAAGTCCAGTAGCACCTTTTTGGTGCTTGCATTTGTGTTAAATCACCTAAGAAGAGAGGCTTCAATCAAGCAATCAGGCAGGCAAGCAAGCAAGCATTTTCTTATGGTTGTCTGTCAGATCGCACGGATCCAGTGAAGCCGGGAAGTCATATCACAAGTAAGATCTCTAGTCATGAGAGATCTCTGGACCTTCTCACTGTCGAAATTCTTGATAATCTTATAGGACACCGAAAAATCAATGCACCCGGCCTGTTGAAGTAATCTCAATCCTCTACATCCCGCAAATGACCCGCAACGCCCTTAACCTGCTCCAAACAGTGAAGTCTCCCAAAACAACGCAAATGGTCCGAGCAAAGGCACAAGTAATCCCGTGTCCATTGGCATGTTCGCAAGCCCTGAAAACGTAAGGAGCAAGCAGAAGCAGAGACTGAACTGTACCAGCCATGTGGCTTCAGAACAGAAGGACATACGCAAGGGCGTTTTAGAAAGGAGCAAAGAACGATATTCTGAAATGCAGAGGCGGCAAAATGGGCAACACTCCCCTGACCAGCGGTACAAATCTCTTGCAACTCTTCAGCCCGCTGTCTTCCCTGTCCTTCACTCTAACGGGGAATTGTCAGCAGGTATCCATATTGATGTTGTTCATACCCCTTTTGCAGTATGATGGAATGATTAATAGAAGCAGCGGCTCTTTTTGCTCTAGACTTTGGAACGACAAATGCGCGTGGCTTTCTGAAACGGTAACCATGCCGCCTTTCATCCTGCCAGCCAGGCCAACTTCATACAGACACAGGTGCATAGCATAGGTCATCAAGTTCTCAGCCCACAAAGAAACATAAAGAAACAAGGAAGACCAAAAACGAACCACATTGGGCATACTTGAAGGACAGTACAGCAAACATGGGAAACTCCAAGTGATCCTGTGAAAGTTCTAAATGACAAGACGCGAAGGTTTGAGTGAGAAGAGGCGCTGGACACCTGCATTGGAGAAGGAAGGAACAAAGAAATGAATCATGCAATTGGCCATGCCGAGCATGCGTTGTCGCAATAGCCTCAATGACATGAAAGCAGGCACGGTTTGCATACTTACCAGGACGTGTTTTTGCGTACAGGCCTTGACAGGTGGGCAAAACTACATGGAAATGACCTGAGAGAACGGAAGTGGACTTTGTTTGGCTGGCAAAGGTCAGAGAGTTGTTGGAATAGGGCCAGTTTGCTGGAACGGACAGATAGGGAAAGCTATCCTATACATCCTCTACAACTGGATGTGCTCAACTGGCGCTCGCGCCTGGATGTGGCCTATGTTTCTAACATTGCCTGCGCGCGTTTCATTTTTTCCGCGTTCCATTTCTGCGATCGCGTTTCAAATTAATATGAAACCGCGTTAGCTATGGAACATGGGAAACTTCTTCTTCAAACCTTTTATGAACGGGATGTTGCGCGCGTTCCATTTGTTTCCGCGTTCCATCTCCGCGATCGCGTTTCAAATGAAATATGAAACCGCGTTAGTTATGGAACATGGGGAACTGTTTCTTCAAACCTTTTATGAACGGGATATTGCGCACGTTCCATTTTTTCCGCGTTTCATTTTTGCGAATGCACTTCAACGCAAGTATGAAACCACGTTAGCTATGGAACATGGGGAACTTCTTGGTAGAACGTTTGTATTTATGGAGTCTGTGCAAGAAAGATACGTGTCTTCCTTACCTGTCCATACCTTCCAGTCAGGCGGACTCACTTCGACCAAAAGTATATTTCAGTATAAGCCGTTAACAAGAAAGGATAGCAATTATTTGGAAGTTTGGCATGTCGGGGTGTCAAGAAGCAAACGCACAACGCAAGGTTTTCGATGGATGATGAGAAAGGCCCGTCGCTCTACCAGGCACCGAGATGTGACGATGGACAATCAGCACCTTCTAGTGACTCAAAGTCAATCCCAAAGAGCAGCCAGACTACTAAAGCACCAGTCAAAGCCATCATTGTCAAGACTGCTTTTCAGCAAGCTTCTCGATGTTTTCACTTCTGAGTGTGGAAGGGTGTGCGCTGTCTCGCTTGGCAGATCGATCCTGCTGGTCAGTACTTTGGGTACAAGGCAGCGGCAGCCGGTACCAAGGACCAGGAGGCATGAGAGCAGATGCCAGCTCCAACGGACTGCATCAGAAACTCATCAGTTCAGCAGGCACAGAATGCTTTGGAGAAGATCGTTAAGAAGAAAATCCAATTCACTGAAGCGGAGACCATCCAGCAGGTCCCCTTTGCTTATTTCTTTTTGCATTTGGACATTGATGTGACTGTCAAGTGCTGCATTTCAGGCCATTGGATGCCTGCAAGCAGTAATGGGCATGGACTTCAAGGTGCCGGCCCACTTCTCTGCAACAGTCGACCTTTGAGACGTGGTACTCCCCTATAAGGCCTCTGACATTGAGGTTGGCGTGGTGTCGAAGACAAGACCTCAACATACTTTCTGGGATAGCATGTCACTTCATTTCAGTTTGGATAGATGCTTAAGGTCTCGGAAAGGCTTCTTTCGGCTATCCGAAGCTGAGATTGACGGCCACCTCACTGTGTCTTGACAGCAATCCTGCGCACTTTCGTGCATAAACTCAGCATTTTTCCCAACCAGTCCACGCGCAGAGCAGCGTCGTATGATGGCAGGGAAAACTGCCTAAGAAATGTGGATCGTGTCAAGCCAACCGCATCTTCTGCAGCGTACATCTCAAGTTGCTTCTATCTACGTCCTCTACATGCTGCTGTCGACTAAGGCAATTGTGGAGAAGGACACGTGAGGGCAGCTAGCGTCTGAAAACAAGTCTAGCTAGGGACAAACTCTGCAGCAAACACAGTTATAGTTATAGGGCGGAAAGAAGGCTTTGCAAACTGCATAAGCCTCTGGAGAACGGATCACAGTCACCATTTCAGTCGCTGAGCATGTTGTCATGTTACCGAGCACAGGCGCGCAGCAATACAAAGCGGCAAAAACACGGCTGTTGGCAAGCTCTATGGCTATGGCAGTTGGCTGCGGTCCATCCACAGTTTCAGAAGACGTTGTCATGTCTGGACCGTTCCATTTCCCCATCAAGCACAATTGAATTTGCCCGCAGAATCAGTGCCGCGATGCACAGCTTTGCCAACCAACAACAGCTGATCTCAGCAAGGCGCTGCTGCCGGTGTTAAACTAGTGAAAATGTTTCATCCAAAATTACGAGTGCATTGAGGTATGGGTCAGGATGCTTCATTCCGACCTTTATCGTTGCTGTGCTGAACCATGCCATGCTGAGCTTCTGCTGCATGAAAGACAGGGTCCGCCAAGAAATCGATACCTTGAAATGCGCCACGGCGACATTTGCAGCCTGCCTGCAAACAGATTTATGGCTAGCACTGTATGGTGCAGACGCTCCACTAGCCAAAACCAGCCAGTCTGGACAGCTAGAATCTGCTTTGCTTTGTTGGCCAGACTCAGGTCTGTTGCTTGTCAAGTAAATTAAAGGACCGGAGAACCCCACATGTGTCATGTGTAGTTTAACCTAGATTTAATTTAAATGAGATGTTATTAGGATAGCGTCGCCCGGCGATATAGGAAGATATATTTAAAAAATGCGAACTCTTGAGATCACATGCCGCGGCGAAACAACGAGCACATTGCGCGAGCGCGAAG